GCCCACCTGGTACATCTATTGTGGTAATACCTGCCAAGCACCTAGCAGAAGAGATGCTCTAAGTAAAGTACCTACATCCCTAACCTTGTGGATGTTAAACTACCTCCTTCACTTGGCTGGGCACCAGGGCCTCCAGGAGACCAGGCCCCTGTCTCACTTGCCAACCCACCTGCTGGTGGAGACTCTCTGCGCATCCCTCCAACCTGACATCTCTCCCTGAGCTTCTAGCCTCGCCTTCACAGATGTGTGGCAAAGCCAAGTCTGGTGTACTGGGAAAACACTTCAAGAGGCTGTCACAGGACAGACCACCAATGCAGGGACTGCCTGTACCTCAAAGAGATGCACACGGCTCTTGATTTGAAGCATTTTACAGGCTCCACCGGGGCAGACTCACAGTCCCAAACTGACTGCACTAGAGCATCTATTTCTGAGAACTGGCAGCTCCACGCAGCCCGTGCCTCTTCCAGTCACTGGCACAAATTAACTCTGACCAAGAAAGGAACAATAACCGAAAGGTCGGAACAAATTACCTTTGGAATCTGTACCTTATTGGAAAAAGGTAAGAACAGTTGCTCTCTTTAGATATAGAACTATTCCTATCAATAATAAAAAATGCTTTCCTGCTGAAGGCTCTTTGGGTGGTTCGCTTGCCTGCTTGCTTTGTGGTGCTGCGGATGGAGCCCAGAAGCTGGCAAAGCTCCACCCTCGATTACATCTCTTCCTCTCTTTGGGCTTTTAACATTTTTTCAAGTTGGGTTGTGGGCAGAGAACAGAGACAAAGATACCCTAAAAGCCGAACAAGGGAACTAGTTCAAGCAGTCCACCAATGTTTCACTTGTACAGACGTGGACATGAAACCCCTTTCCAGATCCATCACAGGGCACAGACTGACAGACAAGAAGCCATGAACTGCCGTGTCACTTATGTGTCACCTTGTCTGGGCAGTTCTTCAAAGGGGATCATTCACAAATTATGAGAAAGCACGCAGCCAGAATAATGGGTTCCATAAATATAGAATCATAAATGATCCAAATGATGCTTGTCTGAAGCTAAGCAGAATTTTCAGGCACTGGAAAGCAAACTTCTTTTCCGGCTCCACTCCGTGTCTCTCCCACTAGAGTCCTTGAAGGAAAGGCTATGAGGTTCCCCAGAGCATCCCTATGCCTGCTTTGTAGAAACAGCCCAACAACTGCCACTGAATTAGGATGAGAAACAATAAACAAAGGCTTCAGAGATGGCTCGGTGGCTAAAGCACTTGCTGTACGAGCACAAGGGTTAGAATCCCCAGAGCCCACATGCAGCTGGACAAGGTAATGCTTGCCTGTCACCCCCAATACTGCTACAGGGAGATGAGAGATGGAGACAGGAGACACCCCGGAAACCTGTGGGCCAGCCAGCCTACCTACATGGCCCAGAACAACAGACTCTGTCTCAAACAAGGTGAAAGGTATGGACTGACACCCAAGGTTGTCCTCTGATTTCCACCTTGGCATGCCCACAGCTACGCTCACACAGGAATGCAGAGAGAGAGAGAGAGAGAGAGAGAGAGAGAGAGAGAGAGAGAGTTTTTAAAGGAAAAAATAAAAACAACCTCCACCATGTCCCTTTCAGATCTTTCTATCATAATGTATGAATAACTGACAAGACAAGTTTCAAAAAAGATGACCCAACACTGTCAATGTCCAACAAACAGAAACTGCCTCTCAGGGGAAGATCAAGTTCAGGTTACTCAACTTCTTTCAACCACCTGTGACTTCAAATCAATACAATATCAATCTGTTTGGAAAAGAGAAATGGAACCCAGAGTGAAAAGCTCTCTCT